CAGAGGCAAGCATTACTAAAGGAAAAAAAAGGAATCCTAATCGGACTTCAACCTTCTAGACCCAGAGTCCAGAGGCAAGCATTACTGTTGCTTTCTCTTATTGTACCCTGCAAAACATGATTTCTCGCTGTTTAGTTTTAACTGCATTCTTCCTTGTTTGTTTTTGACCAACTTCTACCTCAGGTTAACACAACCAAGATCACAGCATTTAGTGTAAAAGGCTTCTTGGGAAAGGCAGAAGTCGGCCCAGACATCGAAGGTACGAGGTGGCCGCCCCGTGGTCGCCCCGTGGTCCCCCGCGGCATTGAAAACCACAATGTAAGAGTAAGGGGAAGATCACTGGGTGTGGGTTCTGCCCCCAGGGTCGTTGTCAGGCACTCTCAGTCTTTCTGCAGTTTATTGTCCTACCAGGACAAAGTTCTACCCCGTAACAATAAAGGCTCTGTAACACTCGTAAGGGGTTAGGCGATGTCACCTCTGAGGCTCTCACTAGATTGCTTTTTCTTGGGACTAGCCACCTGACTACGTGACCACCCCACACCCCCATCTTTACCTACATGCCACCTGTAGATCTGTTCATTTCCTGGGGAAAGAAAAAAGAACGCCCTCCCTTTTTAACCCTGTGAGGTGGGGCAGTGAGCTCAGAGCAGTTTCTACTTCTGGGATATGATGTTCGCCATCTCAGAAAGGGTTACGCTGTCTCGCTCAGGTGGGCAACTTCCTCTACTGAGGGTTACTTCCTTTATTTTTTCCTTCCTTTTAATTGCTTTCTCAATACGGCCAGCCGAAGTCAGAGACGTGAAAGAACTTGAGATGAGTAGCCGGTGAGCAGCCATTTACTCTCTTACCCCTTGGCAGTGTCTCTTGCTGACGATTTCCACTCTGTGACCCAAGTACTAAGTGTCCCTGTCACGCAATAGAAGCCCAGAGCCCAGAGACCCCACGCTCGCACCACAGCAGACAGCTCGCTGTCATTTAACCACAGAAGGTGGAGAGGAATTCAAGGGAGACCACGTCAGTGCCAGGTAAGGAGAGCCACCAATGAGGGGAAGGGAGAATTTCTTCTTAAACATCCTGGCTAAGACTTTTTGCCTCTAAAATGGAAGCAAAACTCTAGAAATGGGAAATATTCGCATTTGTGGTTATATTAGGATGTACTTTAGATTTTTCAAACAGTAGGCTTCTTTCCGAAAATTCTTGACTCAGCAAAATAGGGATGCATTTGGCCAACCACTCTCCTCCTCTGATTTAAACCCATTTGTATTCCGAAGGAAATTTAATCTGTACAGTTATGATTCTTTTGTGCTTAACTTGTCAAAATGTTAAAAGCCAATTGAAATAAAAGAAGCTTTTGGATCTTGACTGTTCTATTTTGTTTCGCCTTAGAGTCAGAGAGCTGCCCTTCTGCCAAGAATCCAGCCGAGTACTTTGTAGGCATATGCATTGTATATGAGACATTGCAGGGTTCAAGCAGGTCTGTTATTTGAAATTTAATCTACAGGCACGTATGTACAAGTAAGATTGAAACTTAAAATTTTCAAGAAAATTATCTATTGTCTGTGGCAATTGATCTGAAATGAAGCTAATTTATTTCTTTTCTTGCAGGGGAATCCTGCAATGTTGTTTGAGCTGCATGTTCTCAGTTCTGAGAAGCCCCATCCCCCAAAACAGTGTAATTGTTCATGGAGAGACTGTCTACTTGCTTTTTTCTTTTCTATAGGGTGCAGAAGCTCATCAGAGAGCGAGTGAGAGAGGGCAAGTGAGCAATCACCCTCCAGGGGGATGGCCATGCCACAGTGCCTCCTTGCAGCCTCCTTTCAGGATTTGGGGCATGCACAGGCTCCCAGGGTGATTGGCAAGCTGCCAGGTTCAGGCCTCGAACCTCACAACTGGCTATGTGGAATCCAGTGCCTTAAACTCTATGCCACCTTTCGGCCCCTCCTGGTGTTCTTAACCCATATTTTCTTTTCTCAAAGTTCAGATACCGACATCATCCAGGGCTATCATAAGCTGCACTGTCCTTACTGACTAGCCAGAAACTCCACCTTGACTTGCCAAATTTGCAAAGACTAGTAAGGGTTTCATGAATATTATTCTGAGATGATTAGTGTCTGATGAATTTGTGGTGTTTAATCCACATTCAGTTCATTACTAAGATGCATGCCTCTGAAGTTCCTTTACCCAGTGAAAACTTTGCATCTTCGGAAGAAAACCTGAGGGAGCTCTTTCTAAGTCAGAGGACAGCAGCTGTGTGGAGCTAGCCAACATTCCGGGGAAGGTCACCCTGAATGCCAGTGGTGGATGGCCCCTAGAGCCAGTCATGCGGTGGGAGGAGGAAGAGAAGTCTGTGCTTGGAACTACTGGGCAGAAGAAGAGTGGGCCCAGGCCCTTTTGGAGCGAACCAGTGAGTGCAGCAGAACTTTTAGGGCTGACCTGGGGCAGGATCGAGGCTGGGCAGGGTGAAGCGCCGTGTGTTGGTGTGTCAAGAACGTGTGTTGGTGCGTCAAGTACGAGCTGTGGATGTCGTGGGCCTGCAGAGAGCTCTCCTTCCACGTGAGACCTGGCTCCCCTCACCGAGCTGACCGGAGACAGGAAATTCCACTGCCTCAAGAATACGATGCATTTAATATTCTCTGCCAATCCCTGAATGAAATAGGTCTAGGCGTTCGCTCCCTTTAGGGCTCAGATTCACCTCACAAAGGCACTTGTGAAGACCCACCTCACAGACTCCCACAGGCCAGACAGAGTGGGCCTTTGCTGGGTGCCTTGCTCTCCCTACCTTGTCTTGCTCTGGAACCTGCTTTCATCCTCTGTGTTAGCTCTAGGTCCACGGGACCCGCCTTCAGTCACACCAGGGGAGACACTGATCCCCTGACCAGGGTGTCATTCACCAAGTCTGCGACTGGCCTAATAGTAAGCACAGCCCAGACAGGGACACCTTTTCAGGATCTAACTGGGAAAAGAACAAACTGTGTGGCCCTGTCTGACCAGTCACTGCGTGACAGGAGGGAGAAAGGGTCTCTGAGACAGCAAGCGCGATGCCCCTCTGTGGGGGACAAATCCAATGAAAACAGAGTCAGTATGTGAAGAGGGAAGCAGATACTACCTGGACACGACTTGGCCTGGAGCCCACTTTTCAGTCATAACGAGATAATTAGTTCTCTTCTTTTGCTTGCACTGACTTTAATTGGATGTCTAGGCCTGACCACTCTGTGAGGATCATCCTGGAGGATTAAACTTTACCCCAGAAAATGTAAGAAACTGTACCAGCCCCTCATTACAGACTGTAGGCATATCTGTGCTTGCACTGTTAGCTCAGACACTGAGATTCTTTTCCGACCTCCCGAGGACACCGGAGATGCCCCCAGGATAACGATCCTCCTGTGCCAGTGGGAAGATGAGGACACCTGGTCTCACAGGACAATCACGGGGCACGTGGACTTGCAGCCCGGTCTTACAGCAGGACAGTGGGGGCGGAGAGTCCATGAGCAAACCCGAGATCTGAGTGCTTGTCTTGAGAAAGGAGAGGCAGCAGCCGAGCATGGTCAGAAGTGGAAGTCAGCAATCGGGTGGGATGGAGATGCAGCAGGCAGAGTGGGAGGGCAGCCCTGAGACAGCACATCTCTGATGGGCCTACTGGGTCATGGGGAGAGCCGTGACACATTTTCCCATAGAAAATACATCATGACTTTTCAGAGAACCCAGTGTATGCTGTCCGAGGTACGGTGAGGACTCGGGCGGTAAGGTTAGAAGACTGAGCTGTTGACTGCCCGTGATCGCGGTGCCACCACACCCACAGAACACAGTCACGGGAGCCAGCGGCCACGTGCTAGTGTGCTGTTAGCGCTAGGTTTTACCATAACCCTTCATTTATTATTTACTATCAGCAGAGCTTGGAGCTGGTGGGTGGATAGAAATGCAAAACTTGGCCTTGGCCTTCGAGGAACCGCAGCCTAACTAAAGTTATCTGAATGTGCACACAGACAGCACGCACGCAATGCAGTGTGCAATAGCTAGCTATCACCCCGAAGGGTCAGACAGAAGAGGCCATGAAAGTTCTCGTGAGGCAGACATTCATGGGTGGCCAGAGAGACTGCCTAAGGATGGGAGGGCGTGCAAGCGCTTTTCCGACTGGACGTATTCCTACCCCTTCGGTAGATACCCAGGAGTGGGATTGCTGGATCACATGGTAGTGCTATTTGTAGGTCTTTGAGGAACCTCCATATTGTTCTCCACAGTGGCTGTACTAACCCACATTCCCACCACAGTGTAGGAGGCTCCCTTTTCACCACGGCCTCACCAACACTTACCCATTCTTTATTTTTAACATCATGCTATTATTCCCAATTGCTAAGATGTGAGACCAATCCGAATGTTCATGAACAGATGAATGGGTTTAAAAAGTGTGGCATGTATATTCTATGGAATACTACTCGGACAAAAACAAGGAATGAGACCCTGGCATTTGATAAAATTGAATGAATATGGAAGATTTAATGCTAAGTGAAGCAAGCCAGACTATGAGAGAGAGGCATCGAATGTCCCCACTTAATAGATAGCAAATGTCTATACTCTAGCAGAAACTGGAAGATTAGGAGGTACAAAAACACAGAGTGCACCTGTGGGTACTGGAGGCAGTGTGGGAGGGGAAGGCTGAGAGGGGAGGGAAAAAGAAATAAGCAAAACATTTAAGGCACACAAAACCGGGAAATTACCTACCGATGGTAATGAGCATGGCCATACCTTTGGGCGGAGTGGCATGCAGTGCATTCATGCTGGGAAGACTCATCCTGTATACTACAATGATACACCGTGACTAAATAAAAATAACAATAATGAAGTTTTTAAATAACGGGAGGATTAAGCTGGGCAGGTTGTCGCTATGACAAACATGGGTTTGGACATACCACTTGTTAATTGTGTGGTTTTAACAGGTTCTCAGCTTCTCCGAACCGTTTCCTCTTTTGTAAATGGGAAATACCATTTCAGATATCCAGGGTTAGGGTCAGGATGGAGTAAGATCACTTAGGTACAGCTTAAGAGCCGCCCCCAAGAAGGAAAGGCATCATCCAGTGTCCCCGACCCAGGACCCAAGGGGAAGAGGCAGAGGCTCACACTGCCTCAAAGTGATTCCCACGCCCTGCGTGGCTGGAAGAGCAGTGACCCAGAGTAACGGGAGACGTGGTGAACGAGAGCAGCAGGCAACCTGTCATCTAGTCCTGTGGGAGAACCAACCCTTCCCATCCCGCTGTGCAGTTTTCAGAAGTTCGTGCCATGCTGAGGACCAGGTTCACCGACAGCCTCACACTCAGCTCCACAGCAGCCTCCTCCCAAGGACTGACATAGCGCTTCAAGGAAAGTGGGGGCAAACGCCCTGAGCTCACTGGTAGTGAGTTCCCGGAATGAGGTAGGGCTTCCACATGGGAAGCAGGCTAGCACTAAGCTATTAGGATGTGGACGTTTGCATTGCCGACCCTGAAGCTCGTCACTCCAGGTTAAGCCTTCCAATCACATGCGGCCCTCGCAAGCCTCCATCCTGTGTTTGTTCCTTCCTACTTTCCTCTTCGCAGCATTGCCAGCGACGACCCTCTTCCCAATGGAGCCGAGGAAGCAGAGGACAATCAGGTACGAATAGCCTTTCACGGATCTGCCTTTATGGCTGTAAAAATAATTCAAAGCACGTGTTTCTCCTTACAGCAGGAAACTCATTTATTGCCACATACAAAGGACCTCACATTTTAAAATCTCATTTTTATACTCTCCATCTATGGCTTCTTATACCAGAGAAGTTGACACAATTGTGACTTTTCTGTGGCCAGTTTTTGGAAGATGTGAAACTGGAGTCAAGCGTCCACTTATCCCTGTGTGCGCGTACTCCAGGGAGACGGAATGTCTCTGTCACTGGTGACATTTAAGAAAATGGCAGGACAGCCGTCACTCCGTGCGGTCTGGCTGCACAGCTGCCTGAAGGCAGTGTCACTGTTGCTGGAAGCAGGGACAGCCACAGCTCCTGGGGCTGACAGCAGCTGGGCGGCTCTGCCTTCCGGGCCACATGGACACGCTTTCGGGTCCCCAGCCTCGTCCCTGCTTCCCCTCAGACAGTAGCACCAAGTCTTCCTTGCTCTGACTTCCTCCGCCCTCTCTCAAGTTGACAGAAACACAGATCTGAAATACCTCCCCAAGCAGAAGGACTGAGAGAACTTTCCTGGCTGCTGGACGGTGAGAACATTAAGAGCCTTACTTGCAGTTACCCTGAATGTAAGTTTTTAATCCGAGATGCTGAGGTTTTGTGTTATGACAATTTAATCTCTTGAGTTTGATCTAATGGAAGCAAACACTTGCTACTGTAGTTCTGAAAATGTCTTCTCTAGTGCCATCAAAAATCGTGTCGTTGCTTCAGTCTGACTGTGTCCCACCTGGTTGTAAAGAGAGACTTAATCCGGTGGTGAGACTAAGAGATGAGCCTTTGGGAGGGGGTCAGTGCTAGGGAGGGTCACCAGGGTGGGTGTCCTGAATGAACCCTGGGGGGTTTACAGTGACAGGGGACAGACGGAGACACAGACACCCAGACCCACAGCACCTGCCCGAGAGATGCTGTGACACCCCGAGCCGCATGTGGGACGCTGGCCGGGCCCTGCCCTCTGCAGACCGGGGTGCATGACCTCTGAGGTCACTATTTTCCCTCACTGCACTGAAGAGGACTTCACTGTTTCCCAAGCCACATGAGCCCAGGTGGTGTTTCTAGAGGCCGAAAACAAAACCAAAGCAAACCCACTCTCTAAGCTAGAGGCGGTGCTTTTCCCAGTGCAAATCTAACCATCCAGCTTCCTCCCGGCAGCACGACATCGTCCTTGTAATCGAGTTCAGAGGGTCTCCTCTCCGGCCACCTCCCCATCAGCCCCCACCACTTGCACTCCTGTCCTCAAGCCAGCCCAGGGCCTTGACACCCACGACTCCCTTCACCTGGAAATGCTGCTTCCCCCTTGCCAAAAGTCAAAACCAAACCAAACCACTCTTTTGTCGAGTCTCAGCTTGTATGTCAAGTTCTGAAAGAAACCCTTACTGACCTCAGAAAAGACTAAATCCCTTGACGTAGCTGCCCGGGGCCGCCCCACAACCCCAAGGCACCACTCTTGAAATCACTCATTCGATGCTGTTTTCCTCCCCAGATTCTAAGCCCCATGGGGACAATGACAGGGTCAGCTGCAGGTTCTGTGACACCTACAGTTTCTACAGTGAGGATAGGGCACTGGTTCTTCAAGAAAACCATTACAGAAATATCTTACTTTATGTATTTAACCAGAAAGTAGGATCGTGTGAATGAATTCCTACAGCGACTTCCAGCGCTAGTGAGGGGACCCGAGTTTAAGTTTCTTCATGTTCACGGGGAGTCGGCCTCGGCAGGGCCCACGTCTGCCTTGTCCCCGGCTGTGCCCTGCACCTAACGCATGCATCTATTTAACTATTTGTTAATTTCCTAGTCACTCAGTGAGGCAAGTAGAAGCTATAAAAATCAGTTTTTAAAATATTAGATCAATATATATTTACCAGTGGAACTATGCAATCCCACTAAGAATGAAAGAAGCTTATTGGCTCTCTGAGGGTTAGACGGTCTTCTGTAAAAAGGAGACACCTCATCCTTCGTGCCCCTGGTGGTCGGCGCGCTGTGGCTATGATATGGTCGGGCTGATTCCGACCTGCAGCCTGACTCCAAGTGAAGAAATCTGATGTTTTCTAATCAGGAGCTGCCGCTGCTGCTGCTGCTGCTTCTCTCTTTCTTTATCTATCTATCTATTTTTAGGTCTTTGCCATAGGGCACATGCATTCCCCAGAGTGAGAGACAGAGAGGGAAAGTGAGAAATCATCCCCTGGGGGGACAGCCATGCCACAATCCCTTCTCTTCCATTCTCCTCTTGGAATTTTTAAACATGATTTTTAAGCCACAGGTCTGGGACTCAAACCATGGTCAGCCATGTGGGAGTCCAGCACCTTAATCACCACGCTACCTACTGGCCCCAACATGAGGTTCTTAATCAGGAATCCATGATAGATCGTAAAATTAGGAATATTTATTTCTATGGTCATGTCTCTGGAGGAAGTCTCTGGCATTCATAAAATTCTCAAAATGATGTGAGACACCCCCATCCCTCAACAATTACTGCAGATTAGTCCGGAGGGCGCATGGAATCAGTGGGGATGCCGTAGCAGCTCCAAGAGACCAGCCTCATCTTCGCCTCACTCTTAACAAGTGTGGCTCTTCATAACCACCTGCCTCTGTGTTTCCCGATGTACAATGGGGTGCCAATGCTTACTCACCAGATGCCTCGGTCCACTTTGTGCGCGCGGCCGAATACCACAGGCTGAGCCGTCAGTGGTAGACAGGCATTTGTCACAGTTCTGCAGTCCGGGAAGTCCAGGGTCTCACAGCCACCATCTAGCAAGGGACTTCCTTCTGTGCCACCCCATGGCAGAAGGGCAAAGAGAGGAGTGAGAAAGTAAGAGCGGGCCAAATTGTACTTTTACAACAAACTTGCTCCCTCAGTAATAGCTCAATTCATTCATGAGGGTGGCACCCCCATGACACACATACTTCCCATGGGGTCCCCACTTCCAGCACCATAGCACTGGGGACTAAGTTTTCAATACGTGAAAATTGAGGACACATGCAAACTGCAGCACGAGGTGACCACATGGCACATACATGTAATGTGTGTGTTCATCTATGTCTCGCCCAGTTTCTGTTTCATACATTATTTTCAATAAATGTAAGTCCACTTTTCTAAACAAGTAGCTCTTTCTTGTAGTATAATTTCTGTACTGGTAGGTTAAGTTATTCAAGAATAATATACTTATTTTTCCATCCAGAATACACTGTATATTGGCTCAATCAAGCACATCAACATACATGTTATCAACAAATAATTTTCTATTTCTTATGTCTTGTATATTTTTCTTTTTCTTTTTTTTTTTTGCCATCCTTGATTTCCTATCCCTCACCCCCCCGCCCTCTGCCGTTTCCCGCCCTCCTCCCACATTGTCTCTGGTATCCATGGTTACTTTCTATGCTTTCCCTCCCCCCCATTTAATTGATTTGCTAATGAACTTAATTAGTCTAAATATTTGCAATAGCAAGCGCAGCTGATATATACATACACATGAACCCAAGCCTGACTTTAGGCATAAACCTCAGTGAGTAGAGTGAACATACTATAAAGTAGCCCCTAGCTGCGGCTATACTAACCCATGTACTCATTTTAAAACAGTTTATTCAACATCTACTCTATGCCTGCCACTGCACTGCGCTTGGGCAGGAGAGGGTGGGAATCAAAGATCAGTAAAATGATTTTAAGATATGAAAAAACAAAACTCAAATCAATTGGAAAAAATCAATAAGCAGTTTACGAGCTCGCTCCGTCATGGCGTGCTCCCTCCCGGACATGAGCTTGTCTGGCTGTCTGCACTATCCTCAAACATTTGGATGAAATGAGGAGATGCAGTCAGTTCTGTATTCTTTTTTAATCAAAGGATACTAGTCATCCTCATGTTTTCAAATATGTGTGTGTCTAACGTTAACAAGACAAGCATTTGAAGAGCTGGAATTTTTCAGTCTCAGTGGGATGGTGTCACTTTGGGCACACAGTTCTGATGGTTCCATGTGATAAACCGACAGCTACACCGTCTGACCTCGGCCGAGTGCAACTGGTTCTTACAAAACAAACAGCGACAAACAAAACGGCAATGAGGAATTCTGACGGTAAGTGGGTCTTCGCGCCAACATACACTTACTCAGGACTAGTTTCTGGGTCTCTCAGTCTCCTGCCGTCGCTCCCTGGGGCACGCACGTGTACGTGTGCCGACACCCACTACCCTTCCTGCCCCGCCCTCAGCCTCCCACACCCTACCCCCGGCATTTCCTCGCAGTGAGGCTACCTCAGTGCACAAGGGCTGATGGGACCCCACCTCCACACTCATCCATAAGAGGCAGGAGGGCCAGTTAAAGTGGAATTTCAGATAAACCGCAAGTCACTGTTCATATAAGTGTGTGTGAATATTGTGTGGTAGACTTAGACTACAATGACCCCTTGCCTATCAGAGATCTCAATTTGGCTAGACGTCCTAGGTTTTCTTTAGCTAAATCTGGAGGCCTTACCTCTACTGCTTCCTGAACTATGGCCTGTGACCGCGCTGCTGCCACTCCCACTCCTCTGGGCCTCAGTGCCACTTCCCAGGCACATCGCGGTTCCCAGGATGACTCGTTATCTCAGGACCCTGCTCCAAATCCTGCTGCACCAGCCCTCGCTGGAGCAGCACTCGGTGGGATTGCCCAGCACCGTGCTCTGCAGGACTGTCGTAACGCACCCCTCTTCCCTCTCCAGACTTCTCGGCCACACTCTCCTCTCCCGTGATGACCTCTGAAATAACTAGAGCCTCCCCTACCTGAGTCCCTCCCCAGCTACTGGGACTGTGACAGGACCCTGCCCTTCCCATGCTGTCCCGATGCACCACCAACAGACGTGCAGGCCCCCGAGGACTCCTCGGCTGGGCACACAGTACATCCTCGTTGGCTGGGAGCGAGGTCGGTGTGATCGTTAGCTGCGATGGACACCAGGAGGCTGAATGATGCAGCCAAGAAGAGACACTCATTTCCTGAGAGAGTGTGCAGCTAGATGGGAAAATAGCTAATAAACCCATCAACAGATTAATAGTTGCTCAAAACATAACTTACCACAGTTCCTGCAATTCAATCACGTAAAAACACTCAGAAAATCAAAGCTTTTAAAAATTTCCTCTAGATTTATCAAGGTCTTATCTAATTGCTACAAACACCTAAAGACGTGAGCAAATTAACACAGAATTGCAGGATTTTACAAGATACATATTCATGAACGCATGTTGCTGTGTTCAGGCAAATAATGCCCCAAGACATTGATACACTTAGTGGAAGCCACCGGAAACCACACCCTCTGCTCCCCCTCTCTGCGGATCACAGAGTGGAGTACTGGTAAGCCCAGCTCCGAGAGACCGCTCACAACAATTACTGTACTTCTGTAATTCTTCCAGGAGGGAGATCAGCAAATGTTTAATCAGGAAGCTCCGTAAAAATCCCGTCCCCGAACACTTGACCGCAAGCTCAGTGCTGAAGAGCGCTGCTTCCTGGAAGGCTAGCCCGGGCCCTGCTCCTCAGAACCACCCTCACATGCTTCTCGGCCTTCTTGCTTCTCTATCAGCTGTCACTCAGGAGGGACTGCCGGTTTCCCAGGCATTCGTGGGAATCTCAAGTCACAGCTGTCCCGGGGTCTTCAAACTGAAGGTCCTTTCTTTCGAGGGAGACACACATCCCGCGTGCTCGCCCAGAGTGGGAGCGTGCAGTTACGTTGAATCCCTGGCGGGCTAGGCCCTGTGGCCTGACGCCGTCTGTGTGCGGGTCCTATTCATGACGTTGCTCCCACCCAGGCTGCGCTGCCCCCGTGAGCGGGCAGAGCACTTGTCTGAACGTGGCGGAGCGGCCCTGACACAGTCCTGGCGTGAGCACAGTGAGGGGGAGAGGCGAAGGCGCCCGCCCCGGCCTGCTCTGCAAGGGGCCGAGAAAGGCCTAACCCTCTAGGCACACAGAGAGTGCCGACTAACTTCAGCTCAGCCACGGCGAGTGGGAGGATGCCAGAGCAGGGCACGGTGAGCGGATAAGCCCTACCCAGCTCTCGTCACCACTCCTCCAACCTGGAGCTTACTCATTCCCACTTCAGGAACTTGGGTTACCATTTGCAAAGCGGGCGACTGCATCGTAGCTCCCGGAGATACGCAGAGGACTATCGACAGGAGACAGCGTGCACTTATTGCTGCGTGGAGCATTTCACAACAGTTCCGCTTTGACGGGCAGTGTTCGGGACAGGTCCTGTCACACGCTCACTAGAATGCTGACCCTCCGGACCACAAGGTATACAGAAGAAAGTTAGAATCGCCTACACTTTTACCACTAACTCATAGTAACTGGTTTCCGTAAATCTCTCTTCTCATGCGTTTGCATGTCTAGTTTTGTTTTTACAAAATCGGTATCATTCAGTAGTTTTATTTTCAGCATGCTTTCTATTTACATTAATGGTATTTTTCTATAAAATTAAACTCAATACTGTGACATTAGTGGGTGAATAATTGTCTATAAAATGTATCCTAGTTTACTTCACCATAATTTAATTCTATTAATTAGAAACATTGACTTTTGTTTTTACTATTAAAGTTAGCAATATAAATAAAGGTCTTAGGACATAATCCTTTATTCACAACTTTGAGTATATTTCTACATGTAACATTATTGTATTGAAGGACATAGCTCTTCGAAGAGTTAAACGCATTACAAGAAAAATGATAACTGTTTACACTTGAACCAGCAGATCATAAAAAAGCTTTGGCATCATTTTTTATTAAGTATTTTAACATTTTTGTGCAGAGTTAAAATTAGATCTCATTGTTTTAATTTGCATGCACTTGACTAAATGAAACTAAATATTTTCATACATGTTAACTTCATATATATAAATGTGTGTGCATTGTAAGTGTATGTGTTTTTGTGTCAATATTTATAGCAAGGTATTCACATATTATTGGAAAACATATTTTCATATATTAATCATTTTTTTTTAGGTTTAGTTCACTTCATTTTCTTTGTATGAAAATCCTGTGTTGTGGCCACAGCTAGAGCCTGGGTCTTCTGCACCGAGACCTGGGGTGGGTCTAGACGAGATGGTCAGAAAATCCCTGATAGGAAGACTTGGTGAACATGCTCACTCTCCAGAGGTCAGGGTCAGATAGCTGCAGGTTTTAGAGCTGGACCAACGGTGGCCTGGGTGAAGCTGCCCAGGACCAAGGTGCAGCCCCAGCTGAGGTGTAGACGTTGTCCACACCAGCCAACAGCAGCAGTTTCTTGGGCACTGGGGCCAGGCTGATGCCAGTGCCTTTGGAGGCAGGAATGAGGCACAGCAATGCCGAGCTACACTGCTGGTCACCTTGCAAGGGACAGTGTGAGGCTTGCTGATCTTGTTCCCCAGAAGACTCTCTGCACAGAGACAATTGAAAGCTTGGCCAGGATGATGGCTCCTCAGAGGGCAGTGGCCACCACCTTGGGGCACTTCACACCCAAACCAACATTGCCACTGTAGTCCCCAAGGATGACAGACGCCTCGTACCTGGTCCACTGGCCAGCTTGATCTGCTTCTGCACAGGCGTGATATTCACAACCTCATCCTTAAGACAGGTGCCCAGGAAGAAGTCAATAGTCTCAGACTCCCTGATGGTAGGGAGAAGAGAGAGACCTCTTCAGGACTGATCTTCATGGCTATGACCGGGAGACCCAGCTTGGTGACCCAAATCCACTCCTTGTCTTCAGCTTTGTCTCCTTCATGACCCCGACCAATGGGGCCCTGGCTAAACCCTCCATGGAAGCCACCCCAACTCCCTACCCCAAAGCCCCTGGGCTTCCAGCCTGCCACTGAACTGCCGTCATCCGCCATTTGGCGCAGCCTCACAGAAGCGGCGATAAATGTGTTTTCATGTATCAAGTACAGCCTATGTCGTGCCAACGTCTCTTAGCAGTTTGTCACCTTATTTTAATTTTGTGCAGTCAGATCTTTAGTTCTACTGTGTCTTCAGAGCTCACAAGTTTAGAGCATGCCATTCCACATCGTGGTAAGTAAGATGGTTCAGCTATTGGTCAGTCTGTCTGTGTCTGCACAATAGCTGTGCAATTGAGCTCTTTGGGAGTCCAGCAAGCCTTACCCACGATCTCACTGGCGTTTTCGGAGAGTAGTGAATTATTCAAAGATACCCTCCAAGCTCGGCCTCCATAGCCGTCTTGAATGGAGCTTTGAACTGACCTAGAGTCCCTCGGGAATCATGTTTCTCTCCAGACAAAGCATTTCCTGGTTATGAGAACTAAATCTTACCAGAAGCACCTCAAGAATCTCCTAGGGGACATCAAATACCCGTTGCCTAATGACGTTTTGATGAGCTGAGTCTAGATGAATGTAGGACATACGGACTGTACTTCCTCTAAATAAACAAGAACGTAAAATGGAAAGATGCTTGGCTAAATAGATCTGGGACTGTTTGGGGAGAAAAATGAGTTTAATTCAAGTCTAAAATATAATCCATTTATCAAGTGTCTAATCTCAAAAGAAGTCGGGTCTGTGCTGGCCACAGGTATCAGTAATTCCTGAGAAAAGATAGGAATTGCAGCTATACTCTAGTTCCTTTGTGGTAATGCTTTCTGAAAGAGGGAAGACTATGCAAAGCCTGTCACTTCTCCTTCCGTTTCAGCCCTGCCACTGTGAGATGTTAAGATTCCCTTCCAGCAGGTGAGCCCTTCCCACCCCACGCCCGGCTGAGCCAGCCCAGATGAGAAGAGAGCCCAGCACCGGCAGCCTTGAATTACCTCCGAGGAATCCAGCAGAGTCCAGCCCCAGCTGCCATCTGTCCACAGCGAAATCTGTCAGTGGTGACGATTTATGAAATCTCAGTTGTTTATAAATGGCTCTCTCTTACTTTGCCTACTCTTACTCAAAATCTTATAGAATCATATACTCATTTTTCTTTTCTAAAAGAAGGCAGGTGTCGCATAGTCACTGAAAATATTCATGACATATGGAGTGTTGTGATGAAAAGTGAAGAGGTTGGAAGCCAGCCGCTCGGAGTCCAGGCTGCCGACGTGTGCTCTGCCACCATCGGTCATGCCGGTCACAACTCTGGGCCTCGGGGACTTTCTGTGAAATGCAGGCAGTGCTGTCTCCCCAGCCACACCCACGGGGGGTGGGAAAGGGTCGCTGAGACATGAAACGTAATGCTGCCCCCCACGGCAGTCGCAGGGCAGGTGACATTTTCATGGGACTGTCTTATGATTTTCCAAGTCACGCAGTACAGTTTCAAATGGGTGCTGAGAGCCATGGAGGTGAAGTTGCAGTGAGGGTGAAGATGTTTGGTAATGACCCCCGTCATTTCTCAGGAGTAACCCATACTCCGGTAACATGGCAGTGTCCGTGTTTTCATAAAACTAGGATGTGCAAGTGGTATGTTGTCTAATTTGGAGATTTACCATTGCTATCTGGAATTACTTGGCGGTGGGGGGGTGGGAGAAAAGAATGTGAAGAAAACTCCAATTTAACAAAAAGATCCTCTGCCATTTCCCAAAATGTAGCATGTGTTTCCTAAACAGCGTTGGTAAGGGCTTCTAAATCAATTCAGCGTTTTTCAATAGACTGTTCACAGTACATCCTACCTCCTAAACTCCAATGCTGCAGCCTATGTCCATCATCGTTACTCCCTAAAGAGTGTTCACGAGGCCGTAGATAAGAAATCGCATGGACACCAAACGTCTCTTTCATAAACAGAGCAGATAAGGAGAGCAAGCAGCTAAAAATAGAAGGCCTTATGTAAAGACTTTCCATGGAATTCTCAGTATTTAAAGATATGTCAGTTGAGTATAAAGCCCTTCATAAAATGTTGGAGCATTTGAAAATATTAGCATGTCATAAATCTATGGCTAACTTATTTTAAAATGTATTTGTAACACACACACGCACACACACACACTCATACATGCACACACTCACATGCACTTACTGGAGAGAGACAGAGAGGAGCAGAGAGTGAGAAGGAAAACAAGAAAGCACTCCCCATGGGGCACGGCCATGCCACAACCCCTACTCCTCCATCTCCCTTGGCAGGATTTTGGGTGTGCACTCATGCCCAGTGTGTTTTCCAAGCTGCCAAGTCTGGGACTCCCGGAAACTGCACAGTTGGCCATGTGGGATCCAGCCCCTTTAACCTCCAGACCACGGCCTGACCAAAGAACACTAATGTACTTCTTATCATCTTCACAACTCAAACACTTACCTCTGAGTAAATGAAATAGAGCCATTATTCGTTTTCAGCTGATTTCTTACCCATAGCCTAACAGTTAACCATTGTACGTCAAATCATAGGGAACTTATTTTCTCAGGTGTCAGATTCAAGGATCACAGTTCTTTCCCCACAAGCCTATCTCCCCACGCAGAAGCATACATGTATACCGTACATAGCGGAGTAAGAACGCGTGCTCTGGAGCCTGACACAGCAGAAGGGCCTCCCTGGTCTCTAGTAAATCACTCTGTGACCTGCACCTCTGAGCCCCAGTCTCCATGTCTACAATTGGGCCGCGTAGCGTGACCTCTGGCTTAGAAAATGCAGTCTTCATAATTAGGATACTCTACCCAAAAATATTTTAGCTGTCCCACACAGGGAGTGGTAACAGTCCACATGGACAGAATATCTATGCAGGAGCTGTATTGTTCTTGGGCTTTCTTCCTTAAACACACACACGCACAATTCCCCAAAGCCCTGGGCTTGGTCATTCTTCTTTATGCTTCCTATATTTAAGCCAATTCAATGCCTCTCAGCATCTCACCTAGAGGACCAGAGTGGAGAAAACATTGCTACTTCAAAGAAGAAGACCCTACAAGACACACAGCTCCTTCATGAGCAGTCTCCAAGTGCATGATCTTAGAGGAGTCATATTACCCTATCCAGACCCTTTTATTGGAAGGTAAGTTTGTTTGAATAACGGCAGGCGTTTTCTCTTGATCTGTCTTCCAAAATGTATTTTAATTATTGTAGCATAATATAATGAGTGCACTCAGCTAAGGCGAATGCCTAAAATGAGAAAATGACATTTTTAGAGTATTTGCATCACTTAATTATTCTGACCATCTTTGAGCACTGCTACAAGAAATCTCTCTCATTTTTAATAAGTAAGCCTTACTATGTTTCTCATAAAATGATGCTTGTAATGAACCCTGCCCCCAAAATGCAGGCTCTATTTCACTAATAAGCTTGGTCTCGGCTTCGGGCTTTTTGGAAATGATTAAATATCACAAATATAATGCACATGTCAGAGTACACAAAATGATTGAATAGCAAAGTTTCACTAAGACTGGAGAGGAAATTTCTCAGCTCAAGATAAAAGGCTGGTGAGAATTGTGTAGGGGCTCAAAGCCCAGGGGAAATCTGAGATGTTGAGGGCCAGGGAAAAACATGGAAAGGGAGAGATTCTTCAAAGCATGAAGAGAGATTCTTCCACGAGCCCTTAGTCTTTTAATTTTCTTCTAGGTCTTCTTAAAGCCAGGAGGTTTCTAAAACCCACCCAACCATAGTTGCAGCAGGGTTTTTGTAAGAGGCTTTTTACAGGAAAAAAAAAGTCAGTAGCAGTCATCCCGGGTGGAACAGAACTGCAGCTGCAGCCTTTGACAGATTGCAGGATGACAGGAAGAAGAGTTAAGAGGACAGGACAGGCTGCGGGATTCGAAGTTGGGCAGAGATGCTGTGCATTTTCAAGAGCGAAAGGAGACCACTGCGGACCAGAGCTGTGGGGGTCCGTCCGTCCAGCACAGCCGTCTGAGTTACAGGTGTGCTCCGAGCGTGGCATTCAAAGCAGACCAGAGGATACTAAGAACCAGAGTGATGAGAGAGAGCAGAGACCCATCAGCCTCCAGGGTACCCCCTCTCTTTTTTATACTTTCGGGAATTTATCTAGATCAAGTTCTCAGCACATGGCAACAATCAATTCCCAGTACAATTTAAATATTAAAAGTGAATTTCCCCCCAGCCATCCGGAGGCGACTTCATGGCACACGCGAGGAGCAGCGCCGTGGACGACTCTCCCTCCCGGCTTCCTGAAGGGCTGGTTCCCAGCGTGTGACAGTACACACTCTCCCCGGGAGCGAACAGCAGCGGAGCGGTCCCCGAGAAATGCCCGGGTCTGGAAGGCAGGCGGTCCTTCTCCCGGCTCCGCTGTGCATACGCACCTGCCGTGGTGCAGCCGGCGGTGAACCGTTCCTCGCCACGCCCAGGAGTCGACGGCTGACCTGGGATGTCGGTGGGCACGCGCGTGGGCATGTAACCGCTCTCTTCAGTGTTCTGTGGGCGCTCCTTATCAAAATGCCTCCATTATTAAACCGCCTCCCACAGCGTGGGTGTTTAGGAAAAAGCAGTAAGAGCTGTCACGACCCCAGACTGCTGCTCCCCCCCCAGGATTCAGAGACCGGAGGGGAGCGGTGTGTCTGTAACGTGTTCTTCTCGCTGAGCTGCTTAGACAGGTGTGTCAGGCCTCCCCTTAGCCAAAGGAAAACCATCTCATCGGGGCTCGGCCCTTTCCTGCCTCCGGCAGAGGGTTGCAATCCGGCAGCTTGACGGCCCCTGGGTAGGCTCGCAGAGCCCCAGAGGGCCTCCCCATGCAGCTCCCCGACACATCCCTGCTGGACTCCTTCCCGCCCGGGTAGCACTCTCAAAGCTGGGAGAGGAGAGCTTCTCCCGCCTTCCACGCAAACACCCAGTAGACTCTCCGGCCACCTCGAGGAGGATGACACGAACTTACTGAGGCAGAGAGGACACGCTGACAGAACTGTCGACCTCGACTCAGCTCCAGTGGAGGTGAGACCCGCCACCCCACCCCGGGGCCCACCCATGGTCGCAGCTGGGCCAGCCAACAGGTGGCTGGAGGAGATAGGCTGTGAGCGGTTCTAAAAGCTCCATTTCAAGCACTGCTGGCCAGAACGGTAGAGCAGGCACGGGATGTGCTGGCGGTTTAATTTCCTTAGGGAAGAATATGAGACCAGAAGGCCCAGCCAGGCCCAGCACCCCCAGGGCCTCGGCCAGAGGAGACTGCTCACACTAGCCATTCTGGATCGGCGCCGGGAGGGGTCCATGACATTCAACCCATGAACTGTGAGGAAGAGTTAGAACAAGAGTTAGAAGAGACTGAAATGAAGTGGAAGCTTGCTCTATTTCGGAAAAGAAATAACCATTAACTACGGTGAGAATAATAAAGACAACTCATCAACAACCATTTCCTGAAAGACTATTTTTAGTGAAGCACTTCATCAAGTAATAGGCCTCAAACCCTAGGGAGGGTCTCAGGAGGTAAAGGGAAGAGACCGAGCATTCCTAGCTAATGTGAACACCATGCACGCAGGTGAGACCCAGGCAATCCAGGGCTATGGAGAAGACGCGTCTTATGGGACGGAGGAGAGAATGATGAAGAGAGGAGAGAAATGAGAAGTGTTATTTGCATCACTGGCACGATCTACCAATGGCGACCCAATTAAATGCTATAGACAGGAAGGCACAGGGGTCAGGAAGGAGGTGAGAAAGGATATTCCCTAATATGAAAAGATAATTTGGTATAATGGAGAAAGACAACACCCACTTTATGTTTTTTTAGTTTTTGTTGTTGTTGTTGTTTTTTGAGAGGTTTTTGCTCTAGTGCACGTGGGCTCACCAGAGAGACAGAGAGACAGAAAGTGAGAAATCACCCCCCAAGGGGGATGGCCATGCTGCAATCCCTTGTCCTCCATTCTCATCTCAGGATCTTGGGCACGCACACACGCTCAGCGTGAGTTTAAGCCACCGAGCCCAGGACTCGAACCGTGATCGATTTCGGAAAAGAAATAACCATTAACTACGGTGAGAATAATAAAGACAACTCATCAACAACCATTTCCTGAAAGACTATTTTTAGTGAAGCACTTCATCAAGTAATAGGCCTCAAACCCTAGGGAGGGTCTCAGGAGGTAAAGGGAAGAGACCGAGCATTCCTAGCTAATGTGAACACCATGCACGCAGGTGAGACCCAGGCAATCCAGGGCTATGGAGAAGACGCGTCTTATGGGACGGAGGAGAGAATGATGAAGAGAGGAGAGAAATGAGAAGTGTTATTTGCATCACTGGCACGATCTACCAATGGCGACCCAATTAAATGCTATAGACAGGAAGGCACAGGGGTCAGGAAGGAGGTGAGAAAGGATATTCCCTAATATGAAAAGATAATTTGGTATAATGGAGAAAGACAACACCCACTTTATGTTTTTTTAGTTTTTGTTGTTGTTGTTGTTTTTTGAGAGGTTTTTGCTCTAGTGCACGTGGGCTCACCAGAGAGACAGAGAGACAGAAAGTGAGAAATCACCCCCCAAGGGGGATGGCCATGCTGCAATCCCTTGTCCTCCATTCTCATCTCAGGATCTTGGGCACGCACACACGCTCAGCGTGAGTTTAAGCCACCGAGCCCAGGACTCGAACCGTGATCGACTACATGGAGTTCAGCGACATAGCCGTTATGGTGACTGCTGCTCCCCCCACTTTATGTTTTGAAACACCACTTCTCCTTTTTTCTCTCAAGTCATCCATATTTCTGCGGTGATTTTAAACCCTGGAGAAGACACGGATATGTGATTCTCGTGGGCTGGACTGCTGCCACCCCTGAGCACTGGGAGTCCGTGTTGCCGTCACAGAGAAATGGCGACAGTTAATTAGAGGGAGAGCTAATTAGAATCTAGATCTTCTAAAATTTCTCCTACCTTCAGCAATTCCTCAAGTTTCTGAAAGTGCTGCTTAGGGAAGAAGATTTTCACTGAGGCAGAACTTTGTGACTGCAGAAGTAGTTTTCAGACGGCTATGGAGAACAGGGCTGTAAGTTATTTACTGGTTTGCCATTCGAGCGTGGCGCCGTATGCACAGGGAAATACGTTCGCATGTGCGGTCCCCAGAAAGGCCCCTTCCTTAGCACGTGGATGAAGGTACACTCCCAGGTGCTCATTTGTCATGTTCTGGAGCCAGAATTCACATCGGGGTCAAGTAGATGTTGGGGGGTCTGCTATAACATAATTGTCCATTGCAGGGGAGGGGGCGTGATCCGTGTGAGTCTTTCATGAAATGAAATGAAATCAAAGCAGCTCCTAGACGGAAACAGACCTTAGGACAAAGCCTGCCTTCGGTCTCACAGCGGGAGGCCTCTGGGCTACGCCATCCTCATCTCTGGAATGAGAGTGAGACCTTCACGAGGCCGTTGCCAAAAGCTTCACCTCGTGCTTTGCTTGTGGGATGTGCTCTGTTAGGAAGAATGGCTTCGGCAGGGCTGAGGAGGCCACAGAAACGCTCTCACTAATGAGTTCCCGTTGGTGTGAGGGGGAGGTCGCAGTGGGGGCCATAAAAACAGTGACGGTGTGGCCAGACTCACTCACTCCCCTCCCTCGGAAGTGGGTTTTCTGTCTGGCACCCAACAAAATGGCTTGCCCTACACAAAGATGAGTGTAAATCCCACATCTATTATTGGAGTCTTCTTAGCGTCCTCAACACCGTCCAGAAGGTGGGCCATCCAGCCAACTGGAGACCACTCAGAACTCAATACACATTCGGAACAGGGCCACGTCTTTGCTAAATTACAATCTGCTTAAAATAGATGTCCTCAGAGGCCGGTTGCAAACATGCTGCGTTAGAGGTCCACGTTGGTTTACGTCCAGCCGAGGCAGTCTGGGGCCAGCACACTCAGAGCTGCTGGGCGCCGGGGACACTGCTGCTCCGAACAAGGCGTGCTGCGCCCCCACGGCTCCTGATTTTAAAAGGTCCCCATCTCTGATTGTGGAGAAGGCAAGGGCCGCTGAACAACCGTCCAGCCTCGCAGAGGACACCTAGGGCAGGAAGTGCACCCAGGTAGGCAGAGCATGCTCTCTTCTCGGACCTGAGGCCCTACTCGGTCTGTAGTTGCTTCTCCCCTGAGCAAGACTTCTTGGTTTTCCAACCGAACAATACGTACAGGCCCTTCAAGCTTATTGAAAAGTTACACATGTCCCCAAAATGGCCCTGAGGAGGGTGTTCTCTCTCTCCTCTTTCTCTCTCATGTACATGTACGAGCTCTAACAGGAATTTTATAAAAATAAAGATACTGTACACCAGGCCAGGGACAGTGCTCCCAAGATGTGGGGGATAAAAAGGTGGGGCTCCGGAGTGCACTCCTGGAGGGAGAGTCCAGCTGTGGGCAGAGCGGGGAGTCAGGCGGAGCGGGGACAGCTGCGCTGAGAAAATGAGCATGGGCATCCAGGAGGGCAAGGTGCCTACAGTTTGGGGAAAGAGGGGGAAACAGGTGCAAAGAGAAAACGTCCAAGGTTTACAGAGGATCCCCCTAATCACGCTGTGAAATTCTAATGAACAAACGGAAGTGAGGAAGCTTTAGAAAGTACGAGTTATTACGTGGGACCGCATATCATCGAAGTACTCGGAGGAGCAGTGCCCAGAACCCCTCCTCAGCCAGCACGAGGAACTCGGTCATGACCACCGCGTAGCGCAGGCGTGGACAGTGGCCTGCATGCCCATCCAGGCGGCCGCCTATTTCCGTAGTTTTGTTGAACACAGTCACACCCACTTCTTCGGTGTTTTCTATGGCTGCTTTTGTGGCACAGAGACTGAACTGAGTAACTAGTTGGAACGGAGACAAGCGGGCCCACAAGGCCTCAAATACTCAGTACCTGGCCCAGGACGGAGAGTGCTGGTCGGCTCCTAGGCTAAGGTAGGAACGTCTTGCCTCGGTGACAGGGAGGAGCTGGTCCTGGGCTATGTGCTGCTGCAGTCCATATAATAACTCTTACTCTCAAAAGCGAGATCCAGAAGGATCAGGCTGCTTCCCAGTAACTTAACTGTTCCAGAATAAAGCTCAAGAATAACCATTTGAACACGGAAGTGCTCAGCCCCAACCAGGTAGGATTCCCAATGCCTGGCGTCCCACCAGAAGTTACCCATCATACACACAGAGGAGACAGAGTACATAACGCGGGGAGAAGACCCTGACCAATCAAAAGTGACCCAGAAATGATACAGATAATGACATTAATAGCCTGGAAAGTTAAGGCAGTTATGTTCTCCTTGTGTTGGTGTTTGAGCAAAGATTAAACACGTTGCATGAAAAGACCCAGATCCAACCGTTAGCCACTGGGCACAAAGCAACAATTCCTTCGGGGGTTTTGTCGCATTTAGAAGTGAAATATGTGGTAGCTTGAACACAAGGAAGAGAAGACTAAACTAACTCGTATTGTTGTAAAGGTTTTCAATGTGAACTAACAATATTATTTGAAGGCAGACTATGTTAATGGATATCCATATATTGTAACCTCTAAGGCAATTATCTAAAAAAGAAAACTATAAAGCACAATGCATTCTTTGAATATTTTATTCTTTTATTTTCAGTGGTAATATTTCTATTTGTTTCTTTCTAGAGTTTCCATTTCTCTGCTAACAGTCCCTACTTATTCATGTCTCCTGTCCATCTTTCCCACTAATACTTTAATATATGTTTACGATGATGTTTTCTGAGAAGGATAGGTGTTTATCAGCTTCTACCATTTTGTAATTCTTAATTATGGCTAATGATTTTTACTTTCTTCATATGCTTTGAAATTTGTTATTGAATGCAGAATATTATATGTCAAAATAGAAACAGTAGAGGCTGAAGTAAAGTAAATAATCTTTAACACACACACACACACACACGCATGCACACACACACACACACACAGCTCCAGATAGGACAGCTCCCTTCTTTCAGGCCGCCAATGTTGTTGGCTAGCTCAAGCCAAAGCTGAGTCGTGTTGGGGCTTGTCTTTGCTGCAGTTACTCTCAGCTCACTACTGGTGTCCCACGTTTTGAGAACTGGTTAGGACCTTTCCTTTCAGCCAGGCTGGAGAGCTAAGCACGCCCTGCTCTGGAGATACCTGCATGCCTTACAGTTGAGCCTCTCTTGGTAAACAGCAGGGCTTTGCTCTGTTCTCCAGTCCCCCAGCTTCCCATGCCCAGGAAATTTGCCCAGTTTTTCCTTGCCCCAGTTTGGATCAGATTCACTTGACCAGAAGTAGCGGTGTCTGGGGGCTTCTCTGTACTCTCCTAGGAAGAACCAGTCTTTCACGGAATTTGACCCATTTAGATTTTTTGAATCCCTGAAGTCCCTGGTGACTGAAACACACATTTACGATTTTGTACACAATCTATTCATCCTCATAGCTGAGATGAAAACAATGGGCTCTGGAGACGTTTCCATCCCTGCTAGAAGCAGGTGCTCTAAGAAGCTTACGGTTTAAAATGAAGAACATAATTTGACCAACTGTTCCAGGAAAATACAAATGATAAACAAAATACAAGTGGCATTTGTATTGATTCAAACATTAAATTGGCCCCCATTCCTAAAAAGAACTTAAATCACTGATCTGTGAGACTTGAAACCAAAGAATTTTGATGAATTATTTAACAAAGCATTTGCATGACTTTCAGCTTCATCAGTAAATAAATCATTTGTAAAAGTCCAGTATGTTAAGCTTAGGAGGGACTTGCCAGAGACTCAAACACAACCAGAGTTGGGGAGACCTCACAGGTCACCTGATCCAAACAAAGGCTTCTGCGGGCAGCACAGAGGGCCTAGGAGAACACGGACGGCTCCTCCGTGTAGAGCCTGGGAGAACACGGACAGCTCCTCCATGTAGAGCCTCGGAGAACACGGACGTCTCCGT